ACCCGTCTTGGCCTCCCAAAGTGTTGAGATCACAGGTGTGGACCACCGTGCCTAGCCATCATTTGCCATTTTTAATTGGGTTGTTTAAAAAAACATTTTCCCTAGCTTTATTGTGGTATAACTGACATACAGAAACCTGCCCATATTTAAAGTTTAAAATTGTGCTTTGGCATACATATATATATAACTGTGAAACCATCACCACAATCAAGATAATAAACATATCTGTAATCTTAAGTTTATCTATGCCCTTTTGTAATCTCTTCCTCCCTCCCGTTTGTTCCCGAGGAAACACTTTGCTGCCTGTTAGTGTAGATGAGCTTGCTTTTTCTAGGATTTTATATAAATAAGGACATACAGTATATACTTTTTCTGGCAGTTGGGTGGCGGGGATGGGGTCTGGGTTCTTTCAGCACAATTTGAGATTCATCCAGTTATAATTCATAGACCATATAATTAACTTTTCTAGAGTGTAGAATTCAGTAACTTTTAGTATATTCATATATTTACACAGCTATCACCACTATCTAATTCCTGAACATTTTCATCACCTCAGAAAGAAGTCCTGTACTAACTGGCAGTCACTTCCCGTTTCCCTTACCCCCCACAGTCCCTTGAAACCGCTAATCTAGTTTCAGTCTAGGTTGTCTTTTTATTTTTGAGTTGTAAGAGCCCTTTATACATGTTAGATACAAGACTCTTGTTAGATATATACTTTGGAAATGTTTTCTCCCATTCTGTGAGTTGTCTTACTTTCTTGATGGTGTTCTTGGAAGCCCAGAAGTTCTTAATTTTGATGAGGTCTAATGTATCTACTTTTTCTTTTGTCACTTGTGCTTTTGGTTTTATATCTAAGAAGGCTCTGCCTAACCCAAGGTGACAAAGGCTTGCACCTGTGTTTTATTCTAAGAATTTTAATAGTTTTAGATCTTATATTTAGGTTTAGAATCCATTTGCAGTTATAATTTGTATGCGATTCAAGGAACCTCTGCCTCCTGGGTTCAAGTAATTCTGCTGCCTCAGCCTCCCAAGTAGCTGGGATTACAGGCACTTGCCACCACACCTAGCTAATTTTTGTATTTTTAGTAGAGGTGGGGTTTCACCATGTTTGTCAGGGTGGTCTCAAACTCCTGTTGTCAGGGGATCCACTCGCCTCAGCCTCCCAGAGTGCTGGGATTACAGGCGTGAGCCACCGCGCCTGGCCCAATAAACCATTTATAATCAGATTTTGCATAGACAGCCCCAAAACCTACTCCACCTAGTTCTTTGTCAAGATTAGTTTGGCTATTTGGGCTCCTTATTTTTATATGTGTTTAGGATGAATTTGACAATTTTTGCAAAACAGTTGGCTAGGATTTTGAGTCTGTAGGTTGTTTTGGGAAATATTGACATTTTAGCAATATTAAGTTTTTAGATCTATGAACATGAGATGTCTTTCCATTTATTTTAGGTGTTCTCTAATTTCTTTTAACAGTGTTTGTAATCTCTATTTTACAAGTTTTGCATGTCTTTTGTTAAATTTATTATTTTTTGATGCTATTATGAATGAATTGTTTTCTTAATTCCATTTTTTGGATTGTTCATTGCTAATGTATAGAATACAAATTATTTTTATATATTGATCTTGTATCCTGCAACCTTGCTGAACTCATTGGTTTTAATGTTTTTTTTTTTAAAAGTGGATTCCTTAGAATTTTCTGTATATAAGATCATGTTACCTGCAAATAAAGACTGTTTTGCATTTAGCTTCCTGATATTGAATGCCTTTTCTTTCTTTTTCTTGCCTAATTATTCTGACTAGATCCTGTAGTACAATGTCGAAATGCAAGTGGTGAGAGTAAATATCCTTGTCTTTTTCCTGATCTTAGGAGGAAATACCCGGTGGTTCACCATTATCATGCTAACTCTGTTTTTTTTTTTGTACATGCCCTGTATTTGAGGAAGTTGAGTATTTTTTTCATGAAAGGTTGGGTTTTATCAAATGCTTTTTCTGCAGCTATTGAGATGATCAAGTAGCTTTTGTTTTATTTACATTCAGATAAGCTCTTTCATTCTTGATTTTGAAGTCTCATGCTTTACAGAGGTTAAAGATAGGCATTAGTAGTCATCAGCATTTGGATAAATGGCAGAAGGCTTGGGGGTGAATAACAATACTCAGAGCACATAGAAAAGAGAAGGCTAAATATGGAATTCTGAGGAATATAAGCAATCTAACATGTACAATGCTATATTAAATGTAATCTGAGCTAGTAAATTTAATGAAAACTTTACCTAAGACAACAGGTTATAGTTTTTGCTTTACTAGATAAATCCACAGCTTTTGGTGGATCTTAAAAGTCCCTGATAATATGGAAAGTTTTTCTGCTCTTTGATTGCATTTGTATGAGTCAGACCCTGGAGAGCAGAAGTATTAATATGCACAGTGTAGGAGAAGGAAGAGAACCGCATGATTTTCTGATTTTCTGAAAGGAACATGTACATGGCAAGTAAATAGTAGAAGAAATTTAAACTTTGTGAACGCATTGCTTGTTCCGTGAACTGGCCGTTTTAACATTAGTCTGAGATGCTGGAATTTCCCTTTTCTCTACTAGAAGGAATGTTTCTGTGAAAATAGAAAAAAAATCAATTTATGAGAAACTTTCTGCATATAAGTAGTATTCTTTTGTAAGGAGCCTGAAGCATGCAGAGTAATGAACAACCATAGATCCTCAGACTTTGTATTGAGAACTAGAACTAGACAGTGCTTTCTCTTCTCATTCATTTTTGCTTTGTACTTCAAACTTGACTACTACTACTTATCAAATAATGTCTCTTAATTTTATGATGACTACTGTTGTTACTATGAAAACCCCTCAATTTCAAGGTATTAAAAACATAATGGTTGCGTTAGCTTGTTGATGAGACTGTTACCAGAAAGGGGTCCAAGAGAGGGTTTTTGGGTCTTGCACAAGAAAGAATTCAGGGCGAGTCCTTAGAGTAAAGTGAAAGCAAGTTTATTAGGAAAGTAAAGGAATAAAAGAATGGCTATTTTACAGACAGAGCAGCCCCAAGGGCTGCTGGTTGCCCATTTTTATGATTATTTCTTGATGATATGCTAAACAAGGGGTGGATTAGTCATGCCTCCCATTTTTCAGACCATATTGGGTAACTTCCTGATGTTGCCATGGCATTTGTAAACTGTCGTGGTGCTAATGGGAGTGTAGCAGTGAGGACGACCAGAGGTCACTCTCATTGCCATCTTGGTTTTGGTGAATTTTAGCCAGCTTCTTTACTGCAACCTGTTTTATCAGCAAGGTATATATGACCTGCATCTTGTGCCAACCTCCTGTCTCATCCTGTGACTTTGAATGCCTTAACTGTCTGGGAATGCAACCCAGTAGGTCTCAGCCTCATTTTAGCCAGCTCCTATTTAAGATGGAGTTGTGCTGGTTCAAACACCTCTGACAATATTACTTGTTAGATTCGTACAAGAAATCTAGACCCTTAGATATAGCCTCACTGTCAGCAGTTAAGATCTAAGTATATTGGCTGGGTGCAGTGGCTCACGCTAGCACTTTGGGAGGCCAAGGTGGGGCTGATCACCTGAGGTCAGGAGTACAAGACCAGCCTAGTCACCATGGTGAAACTCGTCTCTACTAAAAATACAAAAATTAGCTGGGTGTAGTGGCGGGAGCCTGTAATCCCAGGTGCTTGGGAGGCTGAGGCAGGAGAATTGCTTGAATTCAGGAGATGGAGGTTGCAATGAGACAAAATTGGCCATTGCACTCCAGCCTGGGCAACAAGAGTGAAATTTCATATCAAAAAAAAAAAGAAAAAAGAAAATAAAAAGATGTAAGTATATTACCATATGCATTACCTATTCTAAATTTAAATTAGTTGGTAGTCTCGGAGATTGTTCCAGAAGGTTATGTAAGTAATCCAATTCAGTCATAAATAATTCAGATCACTTGGTTGAACTGAAGAAAAGTTGTTATATTGATCAACTCATTAAGTGATATGATTGGTAAGACAATTTGTGAGGTGTTTATTTGACATTTTGTTTCTTGCTTGAACTACATTATTGGAGTTACCCAAAATCATATGAATAATCTGAGAATAATAGATTATTTTATTTGAGGCAAAAATGATAGAATAATGACTGATAACTATGAATTCTAATATTAACAGGAAGTATGACACACCACCACGTTCCCTCAACTTGTAAACTACCTTGATATATTAAAGGAGTTAATACATGTATTGGAATGGTCAAAACTCAGATATAGAGCAGGGTTCTTAAAAGACAAATCAGCATGACTGTATAATAAGGAGAGAGATATATAGACACTACAAATTATTTCTCCTGTTTAACTTTAAACATACAAAATGTATTTAGCATTGTATCTACAGGAAATTATATCCATGTCTAAGACAAATGTTTCCAATTTGCCCCTATCTACAGTCCTTAAAAAATTGGAGAACTAATTCACTTCTTTACTATCATCAAGTAGATAAAAATGAATTGGTACTCATTAGGAACAATGTAGAGGGAAAATTTGCATGTTTAAAAAAATGAAATAAAATGCAGATCAGAGACATCCTCAAAGAAAGAAAAAGGATATCCAGGTACTAAGGTTGGAATGATAGGCTTGAAATACTCTTCAAATTTGAAATTTCAATAGTTGATGAGTTTTAAAGTTGCTTAAGTCTATAGACAGTGATGGTATATATAATACATATAATGAAGTATGTATTTTAGAATATGGTACTGAGCTATTTGTCCTATGTTTGATGATACTACTAGCAAACAAAATACATAGCTCCTTTCATTATTACATGTATACATTATAATGTCTAATAGTAGCTGAAAAACACTTTATATTATAACGTTTATTATTTAACATTTTTTGATATGGGAAAAAAATTAAACATTTTTAGAAAGACTGTTAACTCATGTCACTAAATGTATATGTATATTTTTAATGTGAAAAATTATTGGGTTTCTGTTCTTATTACTGCAGGAAGCATATGTGCCTCTTTTCTTACCCAAAGTTACCAACTGCCAGTTCTTGATACCATGTTTCTAAGAAAGAAATGCAGAGGTAAAGATTTTGGGCTTCACATGCTGGAGGACTTTGTTGATTCCTTTACAGAAGATGCACTTGGCTTGCGGTATCCGCTGTCTTCTCTCATGTACACAGGTAAATGGACTAAGTTAAAAAATGATAATCTTGTCTTTGTGTCACTTCTGACTTGTTTCTCCAGAATACTGTAAATGTGTATATATCAGTATCACATAAATTTGGAACTTTTGGCTCTCTAGAACTTAATTTTGCAAATACGCTCTTATGTATTTGTTCTCTGGGGTTTTGGTAGTCTTAAAAAACTTTAAATGTAATTCGTATATCATAAAATTGCTGGACACAGTGGCTCACACTTGTAATCTCAACACTTTGGGAGGCTGAGGCGGGCGGATCACCTGAGATCAGGAGTTTGAGACTAGCCTGTCCAACATGATGAAACTCTGTCTTTACTAAAAATAAACAATTAGCTGGGCGTGGGGTGTGTGCCTGTCATCCCAGCTACTTGGGAGGCTGAGGCAGGAGAATTGCTTGAATCCGGGAGATAGAGGTTGCAGTGAGCCGAGATCATGCCACTGCATTTCAGCCTGGGTAACAGAGCAGGACTCCATCTAAAAAAAAAAAACCAAACCAAAAAAAAAAAAAAAATACTATAATATTTGTCCTGTTAAAAGTGTATAATTCAGTGGTTTTTAGTATATTCATAGTTGTTCAGTCATAGCCAGCAGTTCTAGAACATTCTTATCACCCCAAAAAGAAACCCTGTACCAATTAGCAGTCACTATCCATTTCCCCTTCATCCTGTAGCAACCACTAATCTGTTTTCTGTCTCTGTGGATTTACTCATTCTGGACATTTTTCATATAAATGGAATCATACAGCGTGTGACTTTTTGTGTCTGGTGCTTTCACTTAGCATGTTTTTAAGGTTCATGTTGTAGCATAAATTATTTAATTTATTTTTATGACTGAATAATATTCCATTGTATGGCTGTACCACAACTTGTTCTAAAGTGATTGCTCCATTTTACATTCCCATAAGCAATGTTATACGAGGGTTACCGTTTCTCTACATCTTCGTCCTCATCAACGTTTGTTGTTATCTGTGTATTATAGCCCTCCACATCCTCACTAACATTTGTTATTATCTGTATATGTTATTACAGGCATCCTAGTGGATGTGCAGGGACATCTCATAGTTTTGCTTTGCTTTGATGTTGAACATCTTTTCATGTGCTTAATGGTCATTTGTATATCTTCTGTGGAGAAATCTGTTCAGATCCTTTGACCATTTTGGTCGAGGCGGGGGGGTGTTATTTGTTCATGGTAGCTTTTAAAATTAACAAAAATAAATTTCAGACATACAAAAAGGAATAAAGAAACTGGGAATGGTGGTGTATGCCTGTTATCTCAGTTACTCCAAAAGATGAGGTGGGAGGATTGCTTGAGTCTAGGAGTTTGAGACCAGTCTGGGCAACATAGTGAGACCTCACCTCAATTAAAAAAAAAAAGTTTAAAGAGTAAGGCATTGGCTGGGCATGGTGGCTCATGCCTGTAATCCTAGCACTTTAGGAGCCCGAGGTGGGTGGATCATTGAGCTTAGGAATTCGAGACCAGCCTGGACAACATGGTGTAAAACCCCATCCCTATAAAAAATTAGCTGGGTGTGGTGGCTTGTGCCTGTAGTCCTAGTGACTTGAGGGACTGCAGTCCTGGTGACTTGAGGGGCTGGAGAAATGCTTGAGCCCAGGAGGTCGAAGCTGCAGTGAGCCGAGATTGTACCACTGCACTCCAGTCTGGGTGACAAATTGAGAGCTTATCTCAAAAAAATAAAAAGATATAAAAATAAGATATCAAATATTCATGTACTATGTCAGCATGTACTATCCACGAGAAATGGCTTGTTGCCAATGTGGTCGAAGCCTTCTGTGTACTTCTACCCAATTAGACTCATTTCCCTTCCCTGGGATGAGTTCTGTACCTAGCTTGGCTTTATTTTTCTCATACATTTCTTAGACTTGTAATACATATGTGTGTATTCTCAAACAGTATATCAGGTTGCTTTATATATTTAAAAACTATAAATATGTACTGTATGAATTCTGCAGTTTGCTTTCTTTACTCATCTTTATATTTGTGAGATTCATCCATATAGATTCATATAGTTCCATTTATTTTCAATGCCATATTCCATTTTATGGACATATCACTTGGTGGTGATTTAAAACCATTAGTGGGTTTGGTTTTACATTTGCGTAAAGGTATACAACTACTCAATGAGGTAAGATTTAATGCTGGATAGTGTTTAACCTAGAAACTCTTTTAAAGTATTATTTACTATTGATTTCAGTCTAACAGTAGACATTTATTTCCACTGAATATATTTTTATTCCAAACTTTACGCACCTTCTTTAATATCAAAAGCAATCCAGAAAACAGGAACCAAGTACTGAATTGGATGCCCATCTTGAATCATATTTTCTGCCTAAATCCATACATGAGAGTGGGATGGGTATTGTGTGCCCTTGGATAATCCTAAAATGCATTACCCCGTAATTAGTGCTTTACTGAATTTGAGGAGAGATGCAGAGACATCCACTGTAGGCAGAATCCGTTAGTACTTACTCTCTTCTGTGATTTTAATGATAAATAAATTGAATACCAAATGATTTACAGATGATTATCAGCTAATTTCTGTCTTCCCATAAAGTCTTAGCACTTTGGGAGGCCGAGGCCGGCAGATCACTTGAGGCCAGGAGTTCAAGACCAGCCTGGCCAACATGGCGAAATTCCATCTCCATTAAAAATGCGAAAATTAGCTGGGCATGGTGGCACATATTTGTAATCCCAGCTACTCAGAAGGCTGAGTCACCAGATTTTGCTTGAGCCTGGGAGGCAGAATTTGTGGTGAGTCGAGATTGTGCCACTGCACTCCAACCTGGGTGACTGAGTGAGACTCTGTCTCAAGAAAAAAAAAAAAAAACCAGGCCTAGTGGTTTGCGCCTGTAGTCCCAGTTACTCGGGAGACTGAGGCAGCAGGATCACTTGAGTACAGGAGTTCAAGGCTGCAGTGAGCCACTGCACTCCAGACTCAGGGAAAGAGTCAGACCCTGTTTCAAAAAAAAAAAAAAAAAAAAAAAAAGGCAAATATCTATTAAGTTATAATTTATATACAATAACATGTACCAATTTTTAAGGGTACATTTTTGATGACTTCTGACAAACATATGGACCTTTGCTACTGTAGACACAATCTAGATAGATAATAACTTTGTTTCCAAAAGTTCCCTTTGTGCACCAGTCTCCCAGCTTCCTTCCCTTCCAAACTCTCACTCCAGGCAAGCACTGATACGCTTTCTGTCAGTACCACTTAGATTTTTCTAGAGTTTCATGAAAAATGGAAATATGTGGTATCTATACTTCTGTATCTGGCATCTTATTTTTGAGGCTCATTGATGTTACATGTCTCAGTACTTCATTCCTTTTTTAATTTTTTATTATTTTGCTGTGTATTGCTCACTTTCATTATACCACAATTTATTTGCCTGTTGATAGACATTTGGTTTTTTTCCTTTCTTGGCTATTACGAATAAAGCTGCATGAAAATGTCTTTGTATGATGGACATTTGTTTTCTTTTTTTTTTTTTTTTTTTTTGAGACGGAGTCTTGCTCTGTCGCCCGGGCCGGAGTGCAGTGGCCGGATCTCAGCTCACTGCAAGCTCCGCCTCCCGGGTTTACGCCATTCTCCTGCCTCAGCCTCCCGAGTAGCGGGGACTACAGGCGCCCGCCACCTCGCCCGGCTAGTTTTTTTTTTGTGTGTTTTTAGTAGAGACGGGGTTTCACTGTGTTAGCCAGGATGGTCTCGATCTCCTGACCTCGTGATCGGCCCGTCTCGGCCTCCCAAAGTGCTGGGATTACAGGCTTGAGCCACCGCGCCCGGCCGGACATTTGTTTTCATTTGTTTGGAGCGAATACCTAAGAGTGTCATTACTGGGTTTTATGATTGTGTTTAACTTTGGGAAGTTGCAAACATTTTCTAAAGTAGTTATGTCATTTTGCATTCCCATTAGTGTAAGTATATGGAAGTTCTGGTTGCTCTACATACTCACCAACACTAGATTTTGTCAATCTCTTTAATTTTAGTCATTCCTAGTAGTAAGTGGATAATGATATCTCACTCATTATGTGGTTTCAATTTGCATTTTTCTGAAGACTAAAGATTTTTGAGTATCTCTTCGTGTAATTATTGGATAATCATCTACCCTAAAAAAGTGTAGAACAAGTGAGGTGTTTGTTCACATCTTTTGCTTATGTTGTATTGAATTGCTTGTCTTCTTATTGAGTTATGAGGTTTTTTTTTTTTTTTTTTTTTTTTTTGTGATGGAGTCTCGCTCTGTCGCCCAGTCTGTAGTGCAGTGGTGCGATCTTGGCTCACTGCAAGCTCTGCCTCCTGAGTTCATACTATTCTCCTGGGTAGCTGGAACTACAGCCTCCTGGGTAGCTGGGACTACAGGCGCCTGCCACCACGCTCGGCTAAATTTTTGTATTTTTTAGTAGAGATGGGGTTTCACCGTGTTAGCCAGGATGGTCTCTCTCTCCTGACCCCGTGATCCGCCCGCATCGGCCTCCCAAAGTGCTGGGATTATAGGCGTGAACCACCGCACCCAGCCGAGTTATGAGTTCTTAATGTATCCTGGATATGAGTTGTTATATGTGTGTATTGTTAATTGTTTCTCATGTCCTTTTCATTTTCTTAATGTTTTCTTTAGTCCATGTGCATTTTTTGCAAGTAAGTTTTGATATTTAAATGTTTAAATCTCCCATCCTACTATTTATTCTTTATTTGTCCCATTTGTTCTTTCTCCTTTTTTCTTTCCTTTTGGAAGTATTTATCAGTGTTCTATTTTATCTCAACAGTTGGTTTATTAGCCATGCCTTTTTGTTTTGTTTTGTGGCCTTGGTTTTCTCCAGCTTCTTCCTTCCTTTTAGTTTTGGAAACTAAACCCAGAACGTATGAGAAATATTTTCAAATATACAGGGAAAAAAATGATAGACTAGTGTCCTAATTTCTGTACCAAGTCTAGATTGAACAAATGTGAAGATTTTGCTGTATTTGTTTTGGTTTAAGAGAACTAAATACAGTGTTTATTGATTGTAATAAAAGAAGCAATTGATGTTCTCTTTGAACTCTTCCCTAAGACCATTCTCCTTTCTCCTTTCCTCCCCAGAGATAATTGCACTCCTGAAGTTAGTGTTTATTTTCCTACTTATTGTTTCATATTTATGTCTGTAAACATAATAAAATATTATTTAGTGTGCTTTCTTGTTTTTCAAACCACTTTTTGTTGTAAAAAATTATATATAATACCTTATTTGTAGGTGAACAGTTCAGTGGCTCTTATGCACAGTGTTTAGTACCCATCACCACTGTCTATATCCAGAACTTTTCAATCATCCGCATCATCAGCTTTCTCCCATTAAACAATTAACTCCCCTTTTCCCCTGTCCCCATCATCTGGTAGGTAACCTCTTTTCTGCTTTCTGTCCCTATGAATTTGCCCATGCTAGCTACCTCATCTAAATGGAATTATATACAATATTTGTTTTTCTGTGTCTGGGTTATTTCACTAAACATAATGTTTTTGAGGTCCATCATGTTGTAGCATATACAGTATCAAAATTCCATTACTTTTAATGGCTGGATAGTATTCCTTTGTTTGAATATACCGTATTTTGTCTGGCCATTCATCTATTGATGGACACTTAGGTTGTTTCTACCTTTTGGCTATTGTGAATAATGCTTCAATGAATGTTGGTGTACAGATACCTGTTTGAGTCTCTGCTTTCATTTCTTTCGATGTATACCTGAGGGTGAAATTGGTGGGTCATACAGTAATTCTTTTTGAGGAACTGCCAAACTGTTTTCCACTGTGGCTGTACCTCCTCCTCCTAGGTTCAGGTGATTCTCCTGCCTCAGCCTCTTGAGTAGCCATCACACGCAGCTAATTTTCTGTATTTTTAGTAGAGATGGCGTTTCACCATGTTGGTCAGGCTGGTCTTGAACTCCTAACCTCGTGATCTGCCTACCTTGGCCTCCCAAAATGCTGGGATTACAGGCGTGAGCCACCACGCCCAAGCCTTGTTTAGTGTTTTCTTAAACTTCTTATATGTGGCATCATTTTGTTCATTTACTGGCCCAGATTTTTACTGAGCATTTTTAAAAGTGTTATCAATATTGATTTAGGTAGCCATAATTCATTTGTTTTAAATACTATATAGTATTTTTATTACATACATATTACCGTTTATTCATATATTTCCCTACTGTTTGACACTTAGGTTACATCAGGTCATCCTAGTTTAAAATTAGTCCTGTAATGAATATTATAAATGTTTTTTGCATATGTACAGATGGCCCTCGACTTCTGATGGTTTGGCTTTTGATTTTATGATGGTACAAAAGTGATACTCATTCAGTAGAAACAGTCATTTGAATTTTGATCTTTTCCTGTGCTAATGATATGTGGTATGATACTGTCTTATGAAGCTGGGCAGTGGCTGCCAATCACAACTCCCAGTCAGCCAGGTTATCACAAGGGCAACCACCCAATACTCTACAGAGTACTGTATTGAATAAAGTATATGAAATATTCAACAATTTATCATAAAATAGGCTTTGTGTTAGATGATTTTGCCAGGCTGTAGGCTGTAGGCTGTAGGCTGTGTTCTGAACTGTAAGTGTTCAGAACACATTTAACATAAGTGAGGCTAAGCTATGATGTTTGGTAGGTTAGGTGTAGTGAATGCATTTTTGACTTAGTGGTATTTTCAATTTATGATGGGTTTATCAGAATGTAACCCCAGTGTAAGTCAGGGAGCATCGGTATAAGGAATTAGGGTTTTTACCTAGAAGTAGAATTGGATCATAAAGTTCTCTTCTACTTTACCGTTGCAAAATTATTGTCCCACCAGCAGAGTGTATGTTTCCATTTCCCTTATTCTTCTTGGTGCTTGTCATCCCACAGGTGTAAAAATCATATCTTACCTTTCCTTGGCAGCTAGTGAGGTTTATCATCTTTATCTTTGTTTATTGACCACTCAGATTCCATTAGGTGTGAAATTCCTGTTCATAGTCTCTGTCAGTTTTTCTTTGGGATAACTGTCTTTTGAATTCAATTTCAGAAATTGTTTGTATTTTCTGAGTACTAATCCTTTGTTTTACTCTAAATATCTCCTAATCTGTGTCTTTCTGGTATCATTTTCATGTAGAATGGTGCAGTTCAATACAGTAGTCACTAATTTAAATACAAGTTTAAGGTCAGTTCCTCAGTAGCCACATGTGGTTAGTGGCTACTGTATTGGACAGTGCTGATAGTAGGACATGTCTGTCATCACAGAAAGTTCTGTTGGACAATCCTGATACATTAGGTTTTAAATCTTAATATATCATAATTTTTCATCATGGACTGTGATTTTTGTGTCTTTTGTAAGGAATCCATCTGGACCCTAATGTCCTAGAGGTATTTTCCTATGTTTTCTTTTAAACATTTTGTTTTTCACATTAGGTCTTAGAATTTGTTTAGAATTTATGTTGATGTGAGGTCAGGATCTGACTTTATTGCTTTTTTACATCGATTTTTATTTCAGCACAATTATTTTAATAGTTTATCCATTCTTTGCTGAAATATAATGCCTTTTCTGTCATTTGGCAAGTTGTAGTGTATGTGTGGTTCTTTCCTAGTGGAGTTTCTTTGTTACTTATTTGTGGGTTGGTTGGTTGTTTTTTGGTATTTTTCTTCTCCTTCTCCCTCCTATCCCCAGTCCGTTTACATATCCTTATGTCAATACTAGGTTGTTTCAATTACTATGGTTTTAAATACTCGGTTTCAAATACTTGGTACTTGTTTCAAATACTTGGTATCTACTTGGACAAGTCTCTGTCCTTATTTTTCTTCTTCAGAATTCAATTTATTTATAATTGAAACTACTGTATACTTGAGTTGTGTTGGTGGTGTTTTGGTATCAAGGTTATGCTAGCTCCATGAAGTGAGTTGGGAAGCTTACTTTTCATCTTCTGTTTTTCAAAACAATGGATATTTGGGATTTCTAGAAAATTCTGAATGTGTTTTTCAGCTTGCAAGCAATACTTTGAGAAGTACCCAGGAGACCATGAACTCCTTTGGGAAGTTGAAGGTGTTGGACACTGGTACCAGCGAATACCAGTCACCAGAGCATTACAAAGAGAAGCACTTAAAATTCCAGGTAAGAGTGTTTTCAGTTTGAGTTCAGTTTATGTATTTATTTTTGGTAACCTGTCCTTGCTGGCATGTAAGTCCAGTTTAAAAAGCAGTGGCTAGTAATGGTTGTGTCTTAGAGTCCAGAGTAGTGGTGTATTATAATGTGATTGTTCTAGTAACAGACTCTTGTCTAAAGTTTGAATATTTGTGATGTATTAACTTTTGAGTCCCTAGTAACAAGAAGACCTAGAACAGCCCAGTAGGAATTGGTGGGTAAGAAATAAACATAGATTACTGAAATGGCATAGAATAGTCACCAGGGGGTCCAGAGTACCCCCTAATCTCATGCACTTCTCCCCAAAGCTGCTAAGTACTTAAAACAACTATTTAACATTGTATATAATGGCAATGTTGCATTATAAGGTATTGGTGAAGAGAACATCTCACACCTAGATTTTTGTGACCCTTTCTGTCCAAGCTGCTCCTCAGAGCTGTTAGGAAAATTAGTACAATGTTACACTTAAAACCAAATACTGATTGGGTTACAGTTTTTAAAATTCCTCTATATACAGCAGTTTCTCAAAATGAACCTAAAAGACCTATGTCTGGAGAATATGGTCCTGCATATGTTCCAGAATATGAAGCAAGAACTGAAGACAATCAGTCTAGTGAGATGCAGCTAACTGTAGGTACACTGTATGTTTGTTGTTGTAAATAATTTTTGTGTTTTTAAAAAATAGATTCAGTTTATATTTGAGTTTTAAATGTCATAGTTCATTCAACAAAGCTATGTAATTTCTACTGTGTTAGTTTTCCTGGCATCTTCTGTTAATATTACTGAAGACTTTAATTTTCTTTGAAAAATAATTTTAATGATGTTAAAAGTATTATGAGCTAATTAAAGGTAATTTAGGACAAACATAAAATAATATAGAAGAAAATAAAAATCTATAATCCCACTATTCAGATATAGCCACTGTTAAAATTTTTGCATATATATTTAATATTGCATATTATAAAGCATATATCTGTGTATATTGTATTTTTTTTTTATTCTCTTGGATTGCTTAACTGCTATTCTCCATTAATGTAATATTGGAAGCATTTTCTGTGGCATTAAATCATTAAAACATGATTGTTAAATAGCAGCACACTATTTATTCTATTATCTGTTTTATGTAACTATCATTATTTGTTTCCTTAACATAGGATCCTTAAATTTTTAACATTTTTAAATGACCCAGGAGCAAACACATTTATATATGAATCCTTGTGCATATGTAATTACTTCTCTTAACATACAAATTTCCAGAAGTGGAATTAGTAGGTGAAAGACTATGAAGTTGTTATGTAAAGTTCGAGGCTGTATATGCTAGGTCTTTGTAGAATGTAATGCACTTTGCAAATATTAGGTATCCTGAAAGTAGAAGGACAGGTCCCATTATCAAACTCCACAGGACTTATCAGGTCCTTTTCTAGAAGTGATGTTTTGTGGTACTTGATACTGCTTAAAATACAGGCCCGTTGATGGGATTCTAGCAGTCTAGGGTTTTAGGGGATGGCATTTATTGCAGTCGTATTTTTGTACCTGTGTATCTAAGTTTATTTTTGGTGAGTGTTGAATATGTCTATGTAAATGCATAAGCATATTTTAGAAACAACTACTTTAGGGAATTATTTGTGCTTATTTTCTGTCTTAATTAGCATGAGAGTTGACTATTTGAGTGGAAAATTTGTTAATATTTTAAAGAATAACTATATATATATAAGGAGTTAGATTTTTGGGAATTTTTTTCCTACTTTTGGAAATTCAAACTTGAAAATAAGCTCCTGTCCTATTGCAGTCCAAATTCCTCAGATATACACAGATTCATTTAGTACTGGCCAGTTATAAAATCAAGGAAAGTAGAAAATCTACTCTTCCTATAAATGTAATGAGAGCAATGATTTACTTTAATACTAAGCCAAATAATTTTAGATGTGTCATTTGAGTGAGAATATATTACAGTGGTACTACATCATACAGTTGACAGCATAAATTAGATTTTAGAATCTAACCTATTTAAGATTTTAGAAATTCATATTCTTCATATTACTTTAATGTTTTAAATAGTTGAAGGAAAATGTTTGTTGTTTTAAACTCTTTATGTTATATCTCTTTTTGTTAGTACTACAAATAGTTTAGTTTATTTCAACTACATGATTTATTCTTTAGGCGATGATGGTATTGTTATGTGCTTTTTCCTATTTTTATACATAAAACATTACATATATTTCTCTTATACTTTTTGCACCTTTTATTTATTCGTCTTAATCTACATTTTAACCTTTTCTTGTTGAACTACAAGTTTCTTGAAGCAAGATTTTTGTCATATGATTTATCACAATTGCTCCCTTGCTTTTGTTCTATAAATTGAAGGCTGTGTGCCCACTATATTGTGGAGTTTTAGTAAGCATGTAATGGATGAACGAAGTAGTTACTATGGCAAGCATTGGACCTATAAAGATACAGTTCTTAGACATGGGAGAACTAGATGGTCCATTGTTGGAAATATATAATATACTATAGCATAATAATTGCCTTATTATAGCAAGTAATTGGAGGTACACAGGAGAAGATGACTTTTAAAGGGTGGGTGGGAATTTTGTTAGGACATTCCAGAGGATAGCATGTGAAAAAGTTACAGAGGTGTAAAGGAAATGGCATGTTTGATATGAAAGAGGTATTTGGTATTGAATAGGTAGAGAATTTGTATTCTAAGCAGTGGTTGGCCATTAAAAGTTTTTTCTTGTTTTTTTTTTTTCAACAAAAAAATGGTACAGTTTGTGATTTGAAAGTATCACTTTGTCATCAGGGTGGAGGGGTGTAGACTGGATGTGATTAGAGCAAGGGATATGAGTGAGGAGGCTGTTGGAATAGTTGAAGTTCAAGAGAGTAAAGGCATAAACTAAAGCAATGGTAATACAAAGGACAGGGCAGTTTTAAGAGATTCTTCAGTTAAAATTGAAAGGCTTTGTGATTGATTAAATGTGGGTTAGGAAGAGGTCATTACTGACTCACTGTTTTCTGGCTAGAATGACTGACTGAATTGTCATTAAGCAAGATAGGGAATAATGTTGGGGAAAGATAAAGTTCATTTTGGGAATGATTGAGTGTGAAACTGGATGGGAACATGCATTGGGAGATATTTCATTGGAAATAGAGCTTTGGAAATCAGGAAGAAAGTTTGGAGGCTTAAGTCGCATATTTGAATTCATCAATAAGCAGATACTGAAGTAAGCATAGCGAAGGGAGAGCATATGGACTGAGCAGAGAAGGTGGCTGAGGACAGAACTAGGAGACACTAGTGGACACACTGTGACATATTAGATGACTTGCGTATGTTCTCAGTCTTTTAAACTGAAGCTGAACTATAATCTTTTTATTTTTAAAGTAAATGTTCTTAACAAAAAGTGCTATTTGAAAAACATTTTACAAGTTTTTCTTTGAAACTGTAAATAGATCCATAGGGAGAAAAAATAGTCTAAAACTTTGGTTTTGAATCTCTCTCTTTTTTAGATTGATTCTCTAAAAGATGCCTTTGCAAGCACTTCTGAAGGTAAGAAATTCAACTGATATATCAGTAAGTATTTGAGACACTTCAAATTAGGGCAGTGTGTGTGTATATGCGTGCATGCGTGTGTGGTGTGTCACCCTGAGTAAGTGAATACTTAACCAGCTCTAAAATCTAAATCTAGGTTCTCATGCCACCACTGCCACTGATTTTGCTATGTGAACACTGAGTAAGCTATTGTACCTCTCTCTTCCTTATTTCCTTAGCTATAAAATAGGGATGGTAATGTCTGCGTTGTTTGTTTTTCAAGATTATTGGGAGAGAATGCAAGTGAAATACAAAAACACTTTGCAAAGCCCAAGGTAACAGGGAAATGTGAGAAATTAATTCCACAGTTCATATAACTTGACAAAGTTATTATATAATTTAGATTATATAATAATCTAAATAATTTTCTTAGCCTGATGTGAGAGGAGGGTGAACCTGTGTAACGTGGAGAATATGTGTAAACCAGTGTAGTTCTTGCATTTCTGTGTATTTTAATAGGTAGTCCTTTTAATATATAATCAACTAAGTGCAGTTTTGCTGTTTTTCTCCTCAGGTCATGAAAAAACATCAGTTTCCACTCGTACTCGAAGTAGTAATCTAAAGCGACCAAAGATTGGAAAGCGGTTTCAGGATTCTGAATTTAGCAGTTCTCAAGGCGAAGATGAAAAGACCTCCCAGACTTCACCTACAGCTTCATTAAACAAGTAAATAATTGTTTATTTTACTCTCATTTTGTGTTTGTACTTTCATATTAGTGTTTAGCACTTAAGGTAGAGGCTATTTATTACATTGTGTAGCAGATGACTTTGGTTTAGGAGGTAATATTTGAATTATCCATATTTAAATTCTTGTACAAGATTATTAGTTGTTTATCAGTGCTAAGTGTTACCTTGACAATGCTATTGGGAGAAGTTGCTAATAAGAGACTGGCATAAACTCATTTCATGTGTGAAAATCTAAGAGAATATCTAGCGATTATATTATCCCAAATTAGTCATTATCACCAATGCTCAATTTGATGGTATGGTTTTAAGTAATGCTGAGATTTAGTCAGTTTTTTCCCCCCCACATTCAGTTCTTTTATTTAATTTTCTAATGTTTACATATCTCCCTCACGCTGTCTTTTAAGTTAGTGTGACAATTTTCCATAATAAACTACTTAAAGAGAAGCTTTGGTCAAAAATGGAATGAAATTGCAAAAAAACAAAAACAAAAAACCATTGCTTTTAAAATACCAACTGTTTCACCAATTTTATATTCAAACAAAACAACACGGTATTGGCGTGATATGTGTTTTTGTGTTTCCTTGGGGCTGGCTTCCTCGCCATCGTGCCATGGCGCAGCTGCGGTCAGCCACAGTTGGTCATGCTGGATGGTGGAGGCTCACTCAGCTTCACATTATCCAGAGGGCCTTGAAATCCCAAATTGTCATGGCTCCATCGATGCCAGTAGTGCAATATTTGTGACAATCTTTCTTGTCCACCTCATAAATAGAGACTTGAGCGATGCTATTCTGGTGCAGCATCTCCAAAGCCATGTTGCAGCCCTCAGTCATGGCCCTCTTGTCCATATTGCAGAAACATTCCATGGCAGACATGTTGCATTGGATGCTCTGTTTTGGAATCTCTAACTTGGAGACAAAGGTCAGGCAGCCACAGTCATCGTAGTTACAGAGCATTGGTCAGCAGTCATGGCCAGCAGCCACGACACTGTTCTCTGAGATGAATGACACACTCAGGAGCAGCTGGAACTCCGTCTTCAGATTGAGACTTGCACACTTTTTGAGGCATCAGCAACAGACACGGTGCTGTCATGGCTGGCCCAGGCCAGGTGGCTCCCACAGGCAGAGAAGCTGACCCCGTGGACCCAGCCACCAGTGCCACTGCCACCAAACTCTGACATCAGCTGCCCAAAAGGCATCTTGCTGTCCCAGGTCATGCTGCCTGGCTTTTCATCCACTTCTTTAATGTGGGAAGAAAACACACTGTGTTTGAAGTCACATGATCCTGCTGCCAGCAAAACTTTGTTGGGATGCCAATCCAAGCTGAGGACTGTGGAGCGAATCAGCTTTTTAATGTGCTTGCTCACCCACCAGTCATTTTCAGACTCAAAGTAACAAACAGAAATGAGTTGTGCTTCACTTCCCACAGCAAATTTGTTCTCTGGAGGGGACCACTTCACAAAAGTAGCTGTGTGATTAATTCTTAGGATCATCAGGGTTGGCTTCCAGATACCATCTTGCTGACTTCAGACATAGGCATTGTGGTCTGCCCCACAAGTGACCACACGGTCGCTCTTGGGAGCCCCAGTCAGTACCTGTGATGTGTCCACTGTGCTCCTTGAGTTCATGAGCTTTCACCCACTGGTGTCCCTTCTTATAGATGTGCACTTCGTGATTATTGAGACTGAGGGCAATCTGAGTACGATCCCTGTTTCAGGCATGACAGTTGATTGGCTCTAGTAAAAACTGATGCAGTGACATTATTCTTAGTGTTTTCAAAGGAGAGAAAGCTGGGGTCGAGGCAGTCAGACGGTCTCAGAGCAGAGGATTCGCAGACTCTGGGCAGTTGATGTGAACAGGCTCTAGTCAGTTTTAAAATACCCTCAGTTTTACTTTATTGATTCATTTTACTGGGCTATTGGATATAATTTGTAAATTAGTGATAACCATAAATAGTACAGTCAGTTCCTTCAGGAATTTAGTTGCCAGCTGAATCAACAGAACACTTGAGTCTCAACTTTATCCTCTGTCTTTGAATCTTAAAGCAAGACTCTAACTTTTATAATAAAATTAGATTTAGATTAAAAAATCTAAATTTTATAATAAAATTAGATTTCTGCCCTAACAGTTCTGCCAGCTGTTCTTGAGTCAACCATTTAGTTAATTCAAAACTTCACCATTTTAACTGTCAAATTATTGTAGTCAAGTAGAGAATTCTGTAGCTATGCTTATCCTATTACGCAAATAATTTTAAATTTGGGTAATTAGGTTTGTAAATGTTTGTTTTGGTGAAAAATTTGTAATGTTAAAGATAGATATAAGGAAGTATTTAAATCTAGTAATTAAAAAATGAGTTTAGAAAACTGGTTTTCTCACTGAGCCATATTTTGATGTAGTACCCTTTTTAGAAGGGTAACAATGTATTTTAAATTGAGCCTCCCAGAATTATTGTGAATTTTGTTTGCTTTTCATAAGCAGAACAGTAGGAGTTTACGCTTGACTGTTTGCTCAAACATATGAACAACAAAACATCGTCTTAGCCCTCAAAGCATTGACTGCCTAGGGGTAGAGAGAGATACGAACACAGTTTAAGAGCACCGTAAGGTGGATTGTGATTGTACAATAATGGAAAGTGCAGAATGCTGTGGATACTGAGGAAAGAGTGTTACATTCTAATTGAGGGAATGGAGAGATTTGGCATTTGGGCCTGGGCATCAAAGGTAAATAGAAACCCAACAAGTGGAGCTGAGACAGAAGACTTTCTAGTGTAAAGGTCCACCGACTATGGCCTGTAGGCCAAATCTGACCTGCCACCTGTTTTTGTAAATAAAATTTTATTGTAAGACATCCATGCTCATTAAGCTTATATATTTTAAATTAAGCATACATATATTTTTATATATTATTAAGCTTATATATTTTTAGTTATGTTTGCATTGGAACGGCAGAGTTGAATGGTTGGAACAGAGACCATATGGCCCACGATGCCTAAAGGAAAGGTTTGCTGATCCCTTTTCTACATCAAGGCTGAGAAGTAGAACTTTCTGCAGTGATGGAAATGTTTTGTATTTACACTGCCCGGTATAATAGCCATTAGCCAGTGTGCCCATTGAAGTATGGCTGGTGCAACTAAAGAACTGAATTGTTTCATTTAATTTTAATTTAAATGTAAAATAGTGAAGTGTGTCTCGTGGCTATTGTATCAGTACAGATTTCAACTAAAGCACTGACATGAGCAAAGGCACAAAGCTAGGAGGAATGTTACTAAGGATAATTGATGAATAAGGTAAACATAAGGGTCTAGGCTGGGCATGGTGGCTCATGCCTGTAATCCCAGCATTTTGGGAGGCTGAGGCGGGTGGATCCCCTGAGGTCAAGAGTTCGAAACCAGCCTGGCCAACATGGCAAAACCCTGTCACTACTAAAAATACAAAAATTAGCCCAGCGTGGTGGCACACTTCTGTAATCCCAGCTACTCAGTAGGCTGAGGCAGGAGAATCGTTTGAACCCAGGAGGTGGAGGTTGCAGTGAGCCGAGATCACGCCACTGCACTCCAGCCTAGATGACAGAGGGAGACCCTGCCTCAAAAACAAAAACAAACAAATATGTTAGGCTTTCAAAGAAGGTGTACTTTATTCACTGAGCTTATAGAGAACCACCAGAAGTTTCTGAGCTGGGCTATCACAGGTATAGATAATGTGCATTAGAAAGACAGCTCTGAAAGCCTTGATGAACATGTACTGTAAGTCTGAAGATGAATTGGGAAGAAGTACAGTGCTCCAGAGAGAACTGGGACCTGAAGCAGAGCTGTGAAAATGGGCATAGAAAGTCAGGAATATATTTGAAAGGCAGCTTTGGAGTTAGAACTAAACCATATAGTGTGTTGTCCAAGGTGACATTTTTGAGAATGAAAGGAGCATTATTATTATGCCAGTATCCATAATTATGGACAAAAGTCTAAACTGGGACTGCTCCAGGTAAACCAGGATATATGCTGATTCTAATAGAGTAAGATCCATGGTCCTTCAGTATAAATGAGGTTAAAAAAAAAAAGAAGGTATGATACAGGCTGGGCGCGGTGACTTACGCCTGTAATCCCAGTACTTTGGGAGGCTGAAATGGGTGGATCACGAGGTCAGGAGATGGAGACCATCCTGGCTAACATGGTGAAACCCTGTCTCTACTAAAAATACAAAAAATTAGCTGAGTGTGGTGGCACACGCCTGTAGTCCCAGCTACTCGAGAGGCTGAGGCAGAAGAATTGCTTGAACCTGGGAGGTGGAGGGTTGCAGTGAGCCGAGATCGCACCACTGCACTCCAGCCTGGGCAACAGAGCGAGACTTTGTCTCGAAAAAAAAAAAAAAAAAAAAAAAAGATAAGATACAATAAGATATGGATAGAATAAAAGAAGAAGGGTCTAGTTTACATAATTGAGAAGATGGTAATATTATAAGAGGATGAAGAGATTGGTTTTAGACTTGTAAAATCTGAAGTTGTTGACAACATAGTTGATTCTCTAAAATGTTACTTTAAGAAAGGACTTCTGAGATTTTATATTTATCCTTAATGAAACAAGTGAGAATGGTTTTCTTTTGTTTTTTAGATTGGAGTCCACTGCACGCCCATCAGAGAGCTCAGAAGAATTCCTGGAAGAAGAACCCGAACAGAGAGGGATTGAATTTGAGGATGAAAGCAGTGATAAAGATGCACGGCCAGCACTGGAAACACTGCCACAGCAAGAGAAGCAAGATGGTGAAAAGGTATGAGATCACTTACTCAGTAAAATGAAAAGTAAATTTTACCTTTCGTAATCATATATTGTTAGAAAAGTATACTGATATATTTTAGAGTCTTAGAAGTTGTGTTTAGTGTTAAAAAGCATATATATATTAAGCAAGGTCAGGTACTACAGTTGGGGAGAGGATAAAATTACAAGGATAATTTAGTTTATAAAAGTTCGAACTTATAAAAATTTGAATTATATCAAAGATAAAATAGGGATGTTTAGTAAGATCTTTCGGTGCGTTTAAAATATAAGTTAATTTGTAGAATTAAACACACTTACATACACAAATGATATAAGATCTACTCGTATAGAACCAGTTAAAATGCTTTCAAGTGCAATAAACCTTCAATGGCAACCCCATTTTAGTTAGAGGGCTAAGAATTACTAGTCCAGAAAAAAAAATATTTGATGACTATTGATCTCACAAATTTCTGGAAAAATAACTAAATTCATGTTTTTTAAACACTAGAAAAAAATATATAAACCCTTGGTAAATAAGTAAACTCTTCATCTGGGTTGATTTTTGCAGCTTTAAAGTATTTATCCCCAGCTTCTTTTTTCTTTATCCATTTCCATTTTTTTCTTTAATGTCTTTCCTTTCCACAGATTCCCTATTTCTTCTTTCATATGTTTCTTGAAAAAATCTTTCAGCTGTTTGCCAAGTCCAGCAGGCAGGTGAACAAGTGAAACTATATGTTACCGATTTTGTTTTCTTTTTCTTTTTGAGACGGAGTTTTGCTCTTTGCACCCAGGCTGGAGTGCAGTGGTGTGATCTTGGCTCACTGCAACCTCTGCTTCCTGGGTTCAAGTGATTCTCCTGCCTTAGCCTCCCAAGTAGCTGGGATTACAGGTGCCTCCCACCATGCCCAGCTAATTTTTGTATTTTTAGTAGAGACAGGGTTTCACCACTTTGGCCAGGCTGGTCTCGAACTCCTGATCTCAGGTGATCTGCCCGCCTCAGCCTCCCAAAAGTGCTGGGATTACAGGCGTGAGCAACCGTGCCCCACTAGTTTTGTTTTTTTAAGTTACTCTGATTTAGCTCCTGCTTCCTCTATTTCATGAAGTGACATGCTGTGTCAGCTCACTGCAGCCTCCACCTCCTGGGTTTAAGCAATTCTCCTGCCTCTGCCTCCCAAGTAGCTAGGATTACAGGTGCACCAACATGCCTGGCTAATTTGCGTGTGTGTGTGTGTGTTTTTTTTTTTTTTTTGAGACAGAGTCTCGCTTTGTCCCGGGCTGGAGTGCAGTGGTGCCATCTTGGCTCACTGCAAGCTCCACCTCCCAGGTTCACACCATTCTCCTGCCTCAGCCTCCTGAGTAGGTGGGACTACAGGTGCCCACCACCACGCCCGGCTAATTTTTTGTGTTTTTAATAGAGACGGGGTTTCACCGTGTTAGCCAGGATGGTCTTGATGATCTGACCTTGTGATCTGCCGAGACAGGGTTTCACCATGTTTGCCAGGCTGGTCTTGAACTCCTGATCCACTCATCTCAGCCTCCCAAAGTGCTGAGATTATAGGCGTGAGCCACCGTACCTGGCCTCATGAAATGATATTTTTATGTTTATTTTTGTAATATTTCTTTTTCCTTTTTTTTTTTCTTTTGAGACAAGAGTCTCGCTCTGTTGCCCAGGCTGGAGTGCAGTGGCACAGTCTTGGCTCACTGCAGCTGGGACTGCAGGTGCCCGCCACCACGTCCCACTAATTTTTTTGTGTTTTTAGTAGAGATGGGGTTTCACCGTGTTAGCCAAGATGGTCTCAATCTCCTGACCTCATAATCCGCCCACCTTGGCCTTCCAAAGTGCTGGGATTACAGGCATGAGCCATCGCGCCCGGCCTATTTTAGTAATTTTGGGGAGCAGATGGGTGTTTGGTTATATTGATAAATTCATTAGTGGTGATTTCTGAGATTTTGGTGCGCCCGTCACCCAAGTAGTGTATACTATACCCAGTGTGTAGTCGTTTATCCTCACCCCCCTCCTACCCTTTCCTGCAAGTCCCCAGAGTCCATTATATCACTCTTATGCCTTTGCATCCTCATAGCTTAGCTCCCACTTATGAGTGAGAACGTACAATGTTTGGTTTTCCATTCCTGAGTTACTTCACTTAGAATAATGGTCTCCAACTCCATGCAGGTTGCTGTGAATGCCATTATTTCATTCATTTTTTATGACTGAGTAGTATTCCATGGTCTACATATACCACTTTTTTTTTTTTTTTGAGATGGACTCTTGCTCCGTTTCTGGGCTGGAGTGCAGTGGCACGCTCTCAGCTCACTGTAACCTCTGACTCCCTGGTTCAAGTGATTCTCCTGTCTCAGCCTCCCAGATAGGTGGGATTACAGGCACACACCACCACACCCAGTTACTGTTTGTATTTGTAGTAGAGACGGGGTTTCACCATGTTGGCCAGGATGGTCTCGATCTCCTGACCTTCTGATCCGCCCACTTCGGCCTCCCAAAGTGCTGGGATTACAGGCCACCATGCCCGGCCTATATATACCACATTTTCTTTATCCACTGATTGGTTGGTGGGCATTTAGCCTGGTTCCATAGTTTTTGCAGTTGCAAATTGTGCTGCTATAAACATGCACGTGCAAGTGTCTTTTTGATATAATGACTTATTTTTTTCTGGGTAGATAGCCAGTAGTGGGCTTGCTGGATCAAATGGTAGTCTACTTTTAGTTCTTTAAGGAATCTCCACACTGTTTTCCATAGTGGTTGTACTAGTTTAGTTCCAACCAGTTGTGTAAAAGTGTTCCCTTTTCACCATATCCACTCCAGCATCTGTTTTTTTTTTATTGTGGCCATACTTACAGGAGTAAGGTGGTATCAAATTGTGGTTTTGATTTGCATTTCCTTGATAATTAGTATATTAGGGTTCTCTAGAGGGACAGAACTAATAGGATAGATGTATATAAAGGGGAGTTTATTAAGGAGTATAAACACACATGATCACAGAGTCCCATAGTAGGCCATCTGCAAGGTGAGGAACAAGGAAGCAAGGAAGCCAGTCTGAGTCCCAAACCTAAAGAACCTGGAGTCTGATGTTTGAGGGCAGGAAGCATCCAGCTCTGGAGAAAGATGTAGACTGGGAGCCTAAGTCAGTCTAATCTCTCCATGTTCTTCTGCCTGCTTTTTATTCTGGCCATGCTGGCAGCTGATTAGATGGTGCCCACCTGGATTGAGGGTGGGTTTGCCTCTCCAGTCCACTGACTCAAATGTTAATTTCTTTTGGTAACACCACCTTTATAGCCACACCCAGGATCAATACTTTGCATCCTTCAGTCCAATCAAGTTGACACTCAGTATTAACCATTACAAGTCTACCCCTTGTCAGCTTGAACCCATACACACTTCCTGAGATCATACATAGTCTTTAAATAAAGACAATAATGTAATAATTATGCCTAACACAATACAACTGTCATTCGTACAACTGGAAACCCCCAACCCAAATAATATTATGTAAAGTTAACACTTAATTGCTCATATGAAGTCAATAAATCTTATGTCACATGATGAAGGAAAAGGGAAATAAAATGAAGGTATTTTCTTATTACAAGTGTATACATGTGCAAACATGTTCTTAATCAAATAAGGAAGAAATACTCATGACAATTACAGTCATCATTTCTGCAGCTGGTCACGTGGTTGAAGCTGGTGTTGATGACTACCTTCTTCTGCTACCCATTCTGTATTCCCTTTGCCTTCAGCAAGCACTTTAGCAGGTTGTGTTTTTTTTTTCCTAGTGTAGTAACGCAAACCTTCACTCCTGAAGAGTCTGGGCCATTTGTAGTCTTGCCTGGATTGGGCTGTTGTAGTTTCCCATTGACCTTAATCACAGGGCATTGTAATACTAAGAGACACCCCAAGGGATCTCCTATATTCCATGCATACTCTTCCTTAACTCCATTGTGGAGTAGTAGACTGATTTCATCTTGATAGCCTGGGTCAGTCACCGTAGCCAACACTGTAGCTCCCTCAGCCTGTTGACTTTAGGAGGAGCCCAAAGTGTCCAGGTGGCAATCTTAACTTCCAGTTTAATGGAATCATTGTTGTGTCTCCTGGTGGCAGCATTCCTCTCTCTGGAACTAATACCTCTAGGCCAGCAGAACGTAATGTTATGGGGACAGGAAGCAAAAATTTTGCTAGTGGATCACTAGGGGTGAAGGTGAGTGATGCCATTTCCACTTTTACCGCTGGATTCCTGGACCTGTGAATCCTGTCTATAAGAGAAACAGTACCATATACTGAAATGCTGATTCAGAGCCCACACAGCCTGCTAGGTCTAGACCTTTGCCTCAGCCCTGCATAGTATTATCACCTAGTTGGTGGTGTAATTGTGATTTCAAAAGGACATTCCACTGTTCTGTCAATCCAACTGCTTCAGGATGATGGGGAACATGGTAAGAACAGTGAATTCTCTGAGCATGAGCCCGCTGCCGCACTTCTTTAGCTGTAAAGTGAGTGCCTTGTTCAGAGGCAATGCTGTGTGGAGTACCATGACGGATAAGGCATTCCGTGAGTCCATGGATGGTAGTCTTGGCAGAAGCACTGCATACAGGATAGGCAAACTCATATCCAGAGTAGGTGTCTGTTCCAGTGAGGACAAACCTCTGCTTTTTCCATGATGGAAGAGGTCCAGTATAATCAACCTGCCACCAATTAACTGTCTGATCACCCTGAGGACTGGTGTCATAAGGGTGTCGTAAGGGCTTAGTGTTGGTCTGTGCTGCTGGCAAATTGGGCACTCAGCAGTGGCCGTAGCCAGGTCAGCCTTGGTGAGTAGAAGTCCATGTTGCTGAGCCCATGTGTAACCTCCATCCCTGCCACCATGGTCACTTTGTTCATGGACCCATTGGGCGATGACGGGTGGCTGGGAAAGGAGGCTGAGTAGTGTCCACAGAACAAGTCATCCTATCCACTTGATTATTAAAATCCTCCTCTGCTGAGGTCACCGTTTGGTGAGCACT